ATAGTTAGCAAGATATTAGCGAGAGCAATAAACTAGAAAATTGTTAAAATGCGAGATCCTAACATAAATCCTTATCAGTTATATACTATATGTATGTATGTATGTACTTTACAAAAACTATTACATATACAATATATATGTATACAGATATATACAATATATATGTATACAGATATCGCGTACTATTTATCGTGCTCATTCACTGCACAAAACTTTTAATAAACTACAGTATTAGAGGAAAACAAATCAGCGTGTGATTGTAATAACACGTGTTAAGAACAATGGAATCGTTTTGCAGCAAAGTAATAAAAACCTACACTCCCCTGAACAACTTTAAGAATATTATTATAGATTTTATAGGTAACCCTATCATCAGCATATTAGTATTGTTATAGGTAGCTACTTAATATGTAGTTCAGGCAAACCATTAGAGGAAAATCTATATTCGAATCTAACAATAAAAAAAAAAATTTTGGGGTATTTCACTCCCGCTAAAATGCTGATGGGCGTGCAGCGGAAGACAGGAAGACTCCCTTCAGTCCTTTTTTAGGAACCATGAGAATGGATGTTTGATTGGTTGATTGGGGAGAAACAGATGAGACGGACGAAATGAAGACAAAAGAGAAGCCCCAGCATTGGTCCAAGCAAGGACTTATTTCATCTACTACCCACTTTGACAATCAATTCTTTTTAGCGCTCCTCAAAATTACTTTAATTTGAATATACGTAGGTTAAAAGCGTTCGAAATATAGTGTTATAAGCGAATGATAAGGATGCCGTCGAGAGAGAAAGTTAGAAATGAGGAATTAGAAAAAATGACTGTGGAACTCAACAAGAAATAGATGAGATAGGTTAGTAAGACATGTTCTCAGACATGAAGGGCTAGTTACAATTGTATTAGAAGCAGAAACAGAAACTAAGAGGAGGAGAGATAGACCTATATTGGATTACTGTTCGCAAATAGTTAAGGATGTGGATTGTTCGAGTTTTGAGGTGTGGCGAAATAACTCTTTTTGTTTTTTCTGTATGTAAATATTTTTTTCTAATTTTTCCATTTCAAATAATATTTCATTTCAAATAATATTTCATTTCGAATATTATTTCACTTCAAATATTATTTCAATTCTTTTCAACTTCTTATCTTGTAAATACTTTGGTTTCCTTTCAATCTAAATTCTATTGTTCTTTCAATCACTTTTACCTGGAAATCCAACTTCAACCATACCTGCATGCACTCCCATACTAATATCTGGTTTTACCCTTAATTGCTTTCTCTTGAATTCTGTACTGTCTAATTCTATGTATTCCTATAAACTAGTGTCTTCACCCTCTCTCTCACTACTTTTCCTTCTAGAACATTCTATCAAAATTACTAACAACCCTATCCTATAAATACTCTAAAATTTCTTATCTCAAGACAGTCTCTCGTCTACCGCTACTACCACCTTTCGTAAGTGCCTTTGCCTATTTGCTACATTGTTTCATTTTTGTTGTCTTTGTTATTGTTATTGTTGTATTATCTTGTTCTTTCTGTTACCTTGTTCTCGTTTGTTTGTTTCACTCTTTGTGCTTTTTGTTACTTGTGTTTTCGTTTTGTTCTGGTTATTATAAATTGTTATTTGTTATTATTAGTGTTTTTTTTGGTATTTAAGTAATATCCACCAAAAGGCACTAAAGAGGAAATGCGAAGATTAACTCAGGATTGGAAAGAGTGGAGATGCGTGTCCAACCAGTTAAGTTTTTAAATACAAGGATTGTCCGCAACATTTGGATCGTAGTCTCCGTGGGACTATTAGGTATCATTAGTTTGAAATAACTTAAGCGCCTGGCTATCGGGTATGAACATCCTTGACTTTTTAATTAGGACTGTTCAGAATTATAATAGTTATATGGTCACAAACATAGTGACTCCACCACGTGTACAACGAATTAATAAAACTATTACTAAATTATTATTGACTGAAATAATAAATAACTTGATAACCGTAAGTAGGTAATAAAAATAGATTAATATATCAATTAAAATTCCTAATAAAGCATGACGTATAGGTGCTACCAAATATTTGGCAACTATTACGCAACACGGAAGATTACTGTTAACCATTTGTTACTTTTCATAAAATGAGAGTGGTAGCCTAAAATTTACTCACTTGTTTTTTGTAAACATCTCAAATAAGGATGAGTACAGAAAACAGAAATGTTCAAAAAAGGTATAATGGCCATGATATTGAATCAACTATACATTAACATACATAATTTTACAATAAAAACGTTGTACAGTACAATGAAGAAAGTGATTCAACAAAAGGAAGGCCACACTGTTCAACAATGAATCATTTGGTTGGAATTTATGTATATCTATCAGTTCTATGAGGATGAGATCCAACATGTTCGGATGTTTGTGTATATGTATAGTCGAAAAATGTTCAGAAATACACATCTTTAAATAAAATTAAGCCAATTCTACCAATTCACAATCGTGACAAAATACCAACACGTGTTTTATATATATTGGGCGTACAGGGCATTTCTTCGCATACTTTTCGATCTTTATAAAAAGAAAGTAAACCAAACAAACCAAAATCAACAAAAATTAAGGACTTCTTAAAGGTTTACATAGGTCTAAACAAAAGAAATACACAACATGAGTGTTGTTTTAAGGTAACCCAACCTAACCTAACCTAACCCAATACCCAATAATGCTTTTGTTTGATTGTTTAGTACCATAAGGTTGCTGGTATTCTTACTAAAGTATTTTAAAAGAACTTATGCTTTTCTGATTTAGATATAAAGTTGAGATCCGAATCAGGACAGCATCAATTCGCCTACTGGCAGCGTAAGCCTCTATCAATTTGTCGTATGACATCAATAATTTTCTTATACCACACCACCGACCGCAGTAACAGTTATTCATCGAGTTATAACAGGCCACCAAAATTAAGGGTTAGGAAGCAAAAAACAAAAGATTATCATTTCCAACGAAATGGGCCTTAGAATTGCGTCAATACATCAGAGTTTTGTGATATTCTAAATCAAAAATCTAAAAAACGCAATTTTTACCTTGTGAAGTAAAAGGCCAAACAATCAACATATTGGAGTACTGAGTCATTTCCAAGGTAACTTTTATCCTAGAATTAGAGTTTGGCCTTATGTTACAATTGCCCTTGAACATCAACACTTTAAAATCCATATACTAATTTCAAAATCCTAATAAAGCTAAATCGACTTGTTTAGTTTTATGATTAGGATATTCAAGAGCATAAGGAATGGACAAAAAAAATACACAAAAAAGATAATCTCTGGTGCATTGAAATTTCGAGGTATCCTAATCTTAAAACTTAACGAGACGAAATCGATACACCAGACCTGATTGGAAGTCTGCGATAAACGTTATCTAAAAAACTACTACTAGGTACCTTATTAAGTGTTTTGACCTTTTACTTCGCGTGGTAATGCTCACAAAAATGCAAAGTGTATTTTTCGAATTTTGAGATTAGGATATCTAAAAATCTTGAGCTGCTCACACAATAATTCTGGGGTCAGATTTAACCCGAAAATGACATCTTTGATTTCAGCTTTCTAATTAGATACTTTATCGGCTTTTTGGCCCATTTAAATCGTGATTTTTATCACATGACTCAAATCTACCTAACCCTTTTCGAAATATTAAAAATGAATCATGTAAAATATGTTAAAGGAATAAATACGCAGGTACATATGAATGAATTCTTGTAACAGTACAATTAAATCGAATCAGGTGCAGTATGACAAGTATATGGCGTCTTTATCTTTTAAGATTTGTAAGTAAGTAAACATGCAACTTAATAATGTAAATCAAAATCAGGAGAATTTTATTTATTAGACTTAAATGAATGATAAAATGCCTATATCCTTAAAGTATAATTTTCATATCATCATTTTTTCTACGAATATTACTGATTATGATTGTGATATGGTCTGTAATGTAACATTCTTGACGCCACTAAACCAAAAGAGGCTTACCCTTAACTTCTACAAGTAATTAAAAAAGAAAACAGACATTTTTGTTTATGGATAAATTGACAGGTAGAGGTACCTACATGAAATAGGAAAGGACACCGTAGTGATGGAACTAATAAAAACAAGAAGAGGCTTACTTCAAACGCGTTTTATAAAATGTTGTGATTGAATGTAGGCTAAGTCTCTTCTTGTGTTTAGTCTTTTATTAGAGGTACCTATAGTCAGTCTCATACGGTGGTGCCTACATATGGAGAGTCAGTCATATACGGTATGTTAGCTATAGCCTTCATGCCATGACTATTTTTTACCGTATTTATATTAGGCATTCATGACAATAATGTTGGGTACTGTCATCTCTACTTTGTTTTCAATTTAATAGTTGTTATACAAAAGACAAGGCTGAGTGGATTCAAAATAATACTAGACTGTTAATTAAGAATTTTAATGTGTACAAAAAGCACATATGGGTGCATTACACATAATATATCTACCTATGCAGACACCCATCCATGTATGCAAAGATACAGATTTCGACACATTGATCAGACAACAAATTAACGGAAATGAATTTATTTAACCACTCGACTAAAATTTGAAATTCCTTGCCATGAATCTACAAACCGGTTGTATGTGTTAGGTGTGTTGTTCTGTGCATGAAGAGAAGGTCATAGTTCTCCGCTAAAAATAGCCATCGATACAAACTTTCCGAGACTATACGCATACATAAGCACCTATGACAGTGTACATACATATTATATGCGTGTATTGGCGCTTATCGTTGATTTGATAGTATTAAATTTCTATTTTTGATCGCTTTTTTTGCTAATGTCGCGTTTTTGTTATATTAAAGCAGTTTGTATAGGTGTTGAAATACAAATCGATTGTTTACGTCATCTTGGAAAACGCATGCGATGTAATCCAAAAAGTGCAAAATGGTTGCCGGCTATTCTGCTAAGGTTAGGATGCATATGTTTCAGAATAAATGAAAAATAATAAATTACCTCTTCACGTCGCTTAAGCCATCTTCCACAAGGACTCTCTTCTAAAATTTCGCTCTCATCTTCAGAATCTTCGCCACTTTCCCTGGGCGACTTATGCTGCTTCTCGTTCACAAGATTATTTCCCGACATTACAAAATATTAGAGTTTACACCAAAGTATATCCAAAAAATGCACTAGTGCAAAACAAACACTGCAACAGTTTTCCATCAGCGTTAATTCATTCGGTAACTATAATGATGCACTTGTTTCACTGAATTTACTTTAGTTCCGTTATTGCTAACGATTAAGAAACGGATTTCTTTAAACAATTACGCGAAGGAATATTTACGGGATCCACCATTAATAATTTTCTATCTTTGGTTCGAAATGTTCAACAATATTCCGCAAAAACCAATATGATAATGACATCCACACTTCACAAATACCCAGACGGTAATAAAACCTCACTCTTTACTGTCACTTACTACAACAAATTACTTGTCTACTAAATTAATAACGCCAGATTCGAAACTCATTAACAATTTTTTTAAAGGCTACATCGGAATAACACAGTTGATTCGCTTGAACAGGCTGAGCTGAAGTTGTTACGATTAAGTTCAAACACAACTGAGTCTGCGTTTTGTTTCTAGTATATATGTATGTATATACCTGTCATCTGACAGTGTTTAAGCAACCGATAGCCGAGTCGATGTCAAAAATATAAATTTACACAGTATTGCGGCGACATCTTACGCTGGAAAACTAAGACGACGCTCATTTAAACCAAAAATCTGCCACCACATTTATTAACGTATCATAAGTTGCAAGTTACATCATAGATGACGCTCGCATGATATTCTCATTTAAAATAACACTGCATAATTTTAAATATAATAAATGTTTAAAAAGCAACATTACAAACACATTTGTAATCATATTAATCAAATTTGATGCAAACTGCTGTTTCAACTGTAGGAATCAAAAAGAAAAAGAATTTAAAAGGTCATACATCAGATGTTTTCTACTTATAACATTATAACCGACAACCGAGGTTTTGAATTTTTAAAAGTTTTACTTTTGGTTTATGATAAGTTTATAATACCAATTATGTGGTAAAAAAAAGTATTTTCTATTTGGCAAGTAGTAAGTATCCTTTTGCATAACACAAATGTAAATGAAATGGCGCGTTGCAGAAACAATGCGGTTATAACTAATATTATAAGCGGATGTATTACAGTTACTTCCGGCGACAAAATATAAACTATTTGATTATATTTAGAGCATCATTTAGAATGTAAGTTACATCCAAATACAATACGTTTTTTCCGCTTCTATAGATCCATTATTGTTTGATCAGTTACTGTAAATGAATGCCTCAAACCGCACTGTAAAACATGTTGAATTTCATTTGGTCAAATATACATACCGTTTACATACTTATATATATAGAATGGCTGGTTCATATTAAAGAGACTAGATCGAATACCCGAATTTTTTCAATTCTACTTTCTACTAAAAAGTTAGTTGGTCTCTAATCGGATTACCGAAACTGAAAGAGTCACCGCTAGACAAATAGGTGGCGCCTCTCAATTTTAAACATACTAAACAGTAGCCATTTAAACAAACACCCTATATATTGTGTACACTTACAAACAATAAAATTAGAAGTAATACATATAACATGCTTGCCTTCCGTACGGGTCAGAATGTGTTGGGTGTTATATATCGCAGCCCTATATATATTTATGTACATACATATAAAGGCATGTGTGTTGAATCTAATAAATGCGTACATAACATATTAAAAGGCAGGCCAAGGTAGGCGAGCGAATGTAAATAGTGTGTTCTAAAAGCTGACTAACTGTGAGCTGTGTGAGCCTACTTTTTCTTCCCGTCTGACCGCCGTTCATCGTCTCATGTACACTCTGTACAGTATGTACAAATAATACTATAAAATCCAAACAGCAATAATAGGCAGCAGGTACTACGTACCAGTTAGGTACTCGTCGGTGTATATGGCGTATATTATTGGTGGGTTAGGTACTACCGTACTACTGCCGCTTGTTACCGCTAGAACTCGAACTGTAGCGTCGTTGTTCCGCCGTATGGAACGGAGAAAATTGTGTATTAGTTCGAGCGGCATCGTTCGTCAGAGTATGGTGTTGTTGACAGGTGTTATCACTATCGAGAAGAAGTAGTATTTTTTTTAATCGTTTTCGGTTTTTGATATTCGATCGGAGAAAAAACTTTGTAGACGCTCATGATGACGGAAACGGTGGTTAATGTGCAACAGGCACCGAACAACAATGCAGCAAATAACAAAACCAGTGATAACCAAGGATTGTCTTGGATAAAAATTAATCTCGATTACTTCAAGAGCCCACCAGGAATTATCAAAATCGTAGAATTGGTACGTAGAATGTTATTTACGTATAGGTACTGCATAATATTAAAGAAAATTGTACCTACATTTCCTACACAGCTGAAAATTATTCGTGCGCTTCCGGAAACTTACTTAATGCAATCAGAGCAAAAATACTTTAATTGATTTTTAACGGTTCTGTAATTATTATCGAATGTTTAAAACTATCCTAAGAATCATCATTGACCGTACAATTTAATACCACAGAAATAACCGAAGCTAACTACGAGGAGAGATACAAACCTGTTGTCGTACACGCGTCCTCATTTTTGTAAAGTTTCCAATTTCTTTTACCCGGAAAGAGAGACTGAAGTAACCGTTTATACTTATCGAATGGGTAGGTCACTGATATTTACGTACTTTTTCAATACATTTACATACCTATCCACTTTGAATGAAATTTGTTTTAAGACGTGACCTAAATTCTGGTGTATTTAAATTTATCAACGGCAGGACCGTACCTATTTAATTTAATTGATACCTATAGGTACCTGTTTGGTCACAAACTCCAAAACAATAAAAAAAATTAATAATGTCAATCGAATTCACGTTCTGTAGTCAATATTTAAATGTCAAATTTTCTAATTCACATGTTTCTAACTAATTTACAACTAATATAATAATAAAATCATCAGTAGTCGTAGGTTGCTTATTTTTTTAGATAAGTTATACCTAAAACAAAACACTGTTTACCTATTTAAGAGATAAATAATTCATTCTGCTAAATATTAAAAATTATCCAACGAAATGTCTTTTTCAATTTATTTAAGTAAGTGCACTTTATTCATGACTAATTTTTCTTGATGATTGTTTTCTGTAAAAAAATTACAAATTTCTAAAAATAGCAAAGTAATACTTAACTGATGAAGTAAATATTTGTAACTAGCGATACGTCACTCGTGAATAACATTAATTAAGCGATCTTTGAACATCTGCGGCACCTTCACCAAAATGATTAGTTTAATTAGGCAAAACTATTAACAATTAGGTGTCTATAAGTTATTTTTAAACTGTCGTACCTACAAGTAAAATGTAAACCTTGTTAAGTCAGTTATTAATTATGGGAGTTTAATGATGTTTAAAAATGTGTGAGTAGAAGTTTTAAAGACAGTAAAATAAATGTATAGATAAAAAATTTAGTTATAACAACAATTTTTATCAAAGTACACAAGGATTGTTTTTATCAATGCGGTAGTTTATGAGTGTGTTACATTAAAAATATTTTGCATTATTTTTCGTAAAGCTAAAATTTAAAAGAATATTTCATTTATTGTAGCAGTTTATGGCTTACGTTAGATTTAATTTTTAGAATGCACATAAAATAAATATTAAAGTAATCGCAAACATTTAATAGTAGGTAGTAATTTAACAATCACTGGTGCTCGTTTTTTATAACAGATGGAGCCTTTCGATTCATTACATGTTGCAGTTTTCTGTAACGTGGGGGTGGCACTATTTTTTTCAAAAAAATCTGTGTCATTGCCAAGGAATTTCATTGGAAGTTACGGCTTTGGAAAGACAATTAATTAAATAAAAAATTCTCTACTTTTTCTCGATTTTCTGTTCATTGCATATATCTAGAATCCGTTTTATTTTATGAACTCTAGCGAATCGGCAGATATATAATAAAAGTCGTATCTTTGTCTGAAATGTTCGCTGTATTTTCATCTGTTGCCTAATAATGCTGTTGCCTTAATTTCCAAGGTGAAGCGGCGCTGTAAAATTATTTAAAAGACAATTTCTGGACTAAATCCAAAGAAAATAAAACAGTGAACTAGTGGAAACGAAATAAGTTCAGGACACTGTCAGCTGTACAGTTTTGAAATGCGATTTTATTCGCGCGATTATCAACGTTTGTCAAAAAATTATTTGGTTTGGTGCCAAAGAGCGGAACCTTTAATAATAATAATAATCATAAAGTAAAATAAATTTCGGTTTTTCGGTTCTGGGAATTTTGTTTTAATCTTGCGTTTTTTTGGTGAATATCTAGGTTATTAGGTTCCGTAAATCTGTGTGTATGAATATGCAGGACCGTTTTAAAGCAATACATAAATCAGGTGACCCATTACCCATTGCTTTGGTCATCACTAAATATGAGTTTAATAAAGACAATGAATTTGGTATTACACATGCTTCAATTTTTATGCACCTATACAGGTAGTGGAAAATGTTCACCAAACATAGAAACTACAAATTTTTTGTAGGCAATTTTTCGATTTATGTCACACAAGTGAAAATGCGATCAATATATTTTTTTTAACCACGTCTGTTAGTAAATATCTCCTGCTTCAATTAAAACTATCCTACACTAATTGAACCCTTAAAATATTTTGAACAAAGCATAATGTTCCGTTCTCAATTAGCATAGATTATCTGTAATTATAGTTAGATACCATTTACTTATATGCATCGTAACTTATAGATAATAATGCTCCAATATTACAGGGTGTCTCAAGTCAGATTGTTGGCTAAAACTTTAATTGATTTGATTAAACTTGTGATTAAAATTTTTTAATCAATTAAGTCAATGATTACGCATACCTGCAATAAAATTGAAGTGTATATTTTTGCTATTTTTGTCCATAAACTATGGATGTTGTTTCCATTGTAAAAAGTTGAATTGCAGCCATTTTAATTTTTAAACACCCGCCCAAAGACACGTTACATCACATTGTTTATTAATATATACAAAGGTGTAGGCCTGTGGTGGGTATATAACCACATCTGTCTATATACCTACATCATTATTATATACTACGTAATAACCATATAGTATGTCATGTACCTAATATAGCGCTATGTCATCCCACACTTATTATTTTCTTCCTTGTAAAGGATGCTCACGATAAATTTGATGAACAGATTATGTTTAGAAACGTTTGTTAACTCCGTAATATATTCGTAGATGAAATTCATTATTTCTCTAAAATAAACTTTAAGTTACTATTAATTACATTTTATGTGTATAAATTTCTCTTTTAGTTGTTTATAAATGCCTAAAAGGTATACATTTGATGTCCTTTTAAGTTTTAAAGACATATGTAATATATACGTGTAGGTATACGTATAATACGTAAATGTAGTATGCGCCATCTAGTTACTATACATACAGTTACATTAAGTGATGTTAGCGACCCTTTGATGGTTACTAATGTTTACGGTTTTTGAATAAAAGAATTTTTTACGAATGCCTTTCACATAATATATTATTAATTATACATAAGTGTGTGTATGTAAGTGGCTGCCATTATTTTTATATTAATACATTTATTATGTAACCTATATGTCTCTTAAATATAAGGTCTGGTCTGACTATTATTAGGAAAAGTAATTTTAATTGGTAATAAGAAGTTATTTCCATTTTATAATCAACAACAACATCAGAAGATGTGTGCTACACCAACGCAGTTTACATGTTAATTAGAAATTCTAATTTTAATATTTTGCTAAAATGAAATTTTATTTAATTGACCTCATTTCATTTTCTTTTCAAGGTAATTATAATTTAAATACCTACACAAATATAAATTGTACTCATCTACAATATCAATCATATTCTGCATGTCGAATTCATGTTTATGGAAGTAATTGTAGGTTTAATGATTTGAGATAAGGGCGAATTGAATTAATTTACGAAAAATATCATTGTATAAGTACTGATTATGATTTGTCAGACTTCTGTTCATAATCAATTTATCATTTTGTGGTTACATTTGCATAGAAAGAGTTTAAATTCTATATTTAGAGCTTAATTTTAATATGATATGTTTATTTTACGACCGCACGCGCCGCCACTGATATTGGCCAAAGTACGCAAAAACCTGAAATTAAAATAATGAAAATTTCACACATTTCTTAAACTTTCTACGAAAACCGACACGAAACTAGAGATTTTCTAATTTAACGTTCCAACATCTTACAATCGAATTTGGAGAGTTTTATTTTAAGTAATTTGCTTGCAAAAATATCAATACAGGTGTGTTTGAAATTGATATTTGTGTGGAATACGAATGCAAAGGTATCACTTGCTGATTTATATTAAATTGACCTTGTCAATCTATCTATGCTTATACATATATGTATATAGACTTGAGTATCAGATACGTATACAAAGGTATTGTTTTTACGTAAGCACTAAAAAGTAATGACTAATGATTCGCAACTTACTTTATTTGTGTTTTTAACTTATTAAGAATTATTAACACTCACGTAAAATGCATTGGATTTTTTACATATCATTTAACATACGTAATAAGATACACGAATAGTAGCACTCATCGGTATATTTTGGGTCACCCTATATCAATTTAAACTGTTATAATTCATACGAAATGAAAAAATTACTTAAATTTGTTTACATTAACACGAAAAAGGCACAGTAACAAGATACATTTTCACCAATTTATAAAATAACCGTAATGCTTATGCGTACGTCAAACCGGGACAATTGTATCAGGATGGAAAACGAGTCCTTGAGGGAACTCCTCAATCAGAAGTGAAGCTGCATACGGATTTTCAAAAAAAAAAATAAAATTTTTGGGTGTTTCATTCCCACCAGCCAGTAATGCTAGTGGGCGGGCAGTCCCTCTGGACTACGCCGGAAGGTAGGGCGGAAGACCCTCTTCAACCTACTTTCCGGAATCGTAGGAATGGGTGGGTGGTGGTTCGGGTAAGAAAGATGAGACGGACGAAATGAAGACAGAAGGGAATTAAAGATTATCTGTGGGAAATAATTGCCCAGCATTTGCCTAAGTGATCCAAGGAAACCACAGAAAAATTTGGACCAAGGCTAAAGGATCCGGAATCGAACCAGCATCCTTTTAAATGCTAAGGAATGGTCTAAACCTCTAGGCCATGCCGCTCGGTACAGATCTTCAGTCAGCTGCCCCTTTCGAGACCAATTACTCCTTAAGAACTGGTATAGGGCTTCCTCTGTCGCTTGTTTTACCTAGCATCCTTCACCCTCCTGGCTATCCCGAGTAAAACTT